AAGATCTTTCCTCTTAGCTCCCCCCTGGGTTTCCTTCTGATCACTGTCAGTGACAGGGGGCTTCTTCCTCCTTTCCCTTTCGCCTCCCTGCATTGTGCCTACATATGCAAATTAACCACCATTTTGTTGTCAGTTAACTGCCATCTGAGTTGGCAGTTAATTTGCATATAGCCCTGATTAGCCAATGAAAAGGGTATCGTCGTACGCCAATTACCATTTTTCTCTTTTATTATATAGGATAAAAATCATTTAACAATATAGACCCTAAAAGGAAATAATTCCCGTTTCCATCACTGGATATCATATAGTAAGCTGAACTTCCCCATTTTTGCCCCAGTTCCTAGAATTAGGCAGTTTTCCTAATTTTGGCAGTTAACCCCCAAATTTAATCCAACACACACACACACACACACACACACACACACGGATGGGAGGCATGGGCAGAGAGAATAAAAAAGATCCAAACATTTACTAGTACTTCTCTTTTGCACATATCAAAATCTGCCTTCTTATTTCCTTGCCTCACCATACCTCCCCAGGGTCTTAGAGTCTAGGGCACAGGTGAGGAACATCCAGCCTACGGGCCATATAAGGCCCATGAAATTATTTGGTCTGACCCTGCCAAGGTATTAGGCATGAGTTAATTAAATGTTTGACCAAATATAGCAGGCTAATTTTTAAATTGATAATTTTGTATGGCCCACAAATGATGTTATAAATACCCAAATGGTCCTTGGCAGAAAAAAGGTTCCCTAGTCCTAGGTATTTAAAGAACACTAAGATATTATCTATACTGCCGAAACCGGTTTGGCTCAGTGGATAGAGCATCGGCCTGTGGACTGAAAGGTCTCAGGTTCGATTCCGGTCCAGGGCATGTACCTGGGTTGCGGGCACATCCCCGGTGGGGAATGTGCAGGAGGCAGCTGATCGATGTTTCTCTCTCATCGATGTTTCTGACTCTCTATCTCTCTCCCTTCCTCTCTGTAAAAAATCAATAAAATATATTTTTTAAAAAGATATTATCTATACTAATAAAAGGGTAATATGCTAATTAGACCAGATGTCCTTCCCAACGACTTCTGGATGAAGCCGGGGCTGTGAGAGACGCCCGAGTCCCAGGTGCAGGAAGGAAGCCTGGGTCCTGGATGCCAGAGGGAGGCTGGTGCTGGCAGCTAGGGGAAAGAAGGCCTACTCTTGCATGAATTTTGTGCATCGGGCCTCTAGTAGATAATGATAAGATAAAACAGATATACAAGGAAATGCATCATAAGGGAAATAAACACATCACAAGAGAGATATAAGCAATGTTTTGGAGAATTTAAAAGAAGAAATGATCACTTCTGGTTGGGATGAATCAAGTAAATGTTTTATGGAAAAGGTACTATTTCAAGATTTTTAATATGTGAAGATAGGCAGGGAAAGGGAGGATGTTTCAGATACAAGAACCAGAAATGAAAAATGGTTTCATACAACAACAATGACTATAATAACGAAAATGGACAAGTGTTGGAGAAAAGTGAAGACACTGGAACTCCCGTACACGGCTTATGGGAATGTAAAATGCTGCAGATACTTTGGAAAACAGGTTGGCAGGAGTTTTTTTTGTTTTGTTTTGTGGTTTTATTTTTGTAATACTAAACACAGAGTTACCACATGGCCTGGCAATTCTACCCTCAGATGTATATCTAAGAGAATTCAAGCACATGTCTACAGAAAAGTGGAGACACAAACATTCATATGGCATCATCATAAAAGCCAAAAAGTAGAAACAACCCCAATGTCTGTCAACTAATGAATGAATAAACAACATTCTCCACAGAATAGCAACAAAAAGGAATGAAGTACAATAAATGCTACAACAATAGAAATGAAGTACAATATGAATGATCTTTTCAAATATTATGCCAATGAAGAAGCCTATCAAGTGAGAGGATACTACTGTATGATTCCATTTATATGAAATTTCCACAATAGGCAAGTCTATAGAAATAGAAAGTTGATTCATTACTGCCAGAGGCTGGGCAAGGAGAAATGGGGAGTGACTGCTAAAGAGCATGGAATTTCTCCTTGGAATAATTAAAGGATTATAGATTAGACAGTGAAGATCACTGAACAATTCTGAATATACTAAAATCTACTGAACTGTATACTTAAAAAGGGCAAATTTTATGCTATCTCAATTATATCTCAATGCAGCTGTTCTTTTTTTTTTTTAAAGCCATTACATATTCTATATCTTGTTCTAAATAATGGTTACATGGGTGTACTCATATGTAAAAAATGTCAAATCATATACTTAAGTAAATAACTTTATGTTCTTTACTATGTGTATCTTATCTACACTAACAAAAGACAAAGATACTAATTGACCATACCTTCGCTATGCCCTAAGCCACGCCCACCAGCCAATCAGAGCGACTATATGCAAATTAACCCAACCAAGATGGCGGCCAGCAGCCATAGGCTGGAGCAAGCAGGAGGCTTGGTTGCCTGGGCGATGGAGGAAGTCAAGCTTCCTTCCTGCCCTGAGCCAGCTGTGGCCTCCGCTTATGGCAACAAAGTTTCAATTATAGAGGACAAATAAATCCCAGATACCTGCTTCCAGCCAGCCTCCACTGGGAGCTTGGGGGCTGGGGGCCGTGGCCAGCATGCAAATAGCCATCAGCCCCTCAGGATGACCACACCATCATAGGGTGACAGTCCCCGCTGGGGGGCTTGGCCGACCTGAAAATGGCCCCCAGCCCCTCACCCAGACTGGCCAGGCACCCCAGCAGGACCCCCCACCCAGAAGGGTCTGTGGCCAGCCTGCAAACAGCCATCAGCCCCTCACCCAGGCTGGCCACACCCTCATGGGGTCAGGGTCCCCACTGGGGGGCTTAGACTACCTGAAAATGGCCCCCAGCCCCTCACCCAGACTGGCCAGGCACCCCAGCAGGACCCCCCACCCAGAAGGAGCTGTGGCCAGCCTGCAAACAGCCATCAGCCATGCACCCAGGCTGGCCATACTCTCATTGGTTGAGGGTCCCCGCTAGGGGGCTTGGCCAGCCTGCAAACTGCCATCAGGCACTCACCCAGACTGGCCAGGCACCCCAAGCACCCAGGCTGGCCATACTCTCATTGGTTGAGGGTCCCCGCTAGGGGGCTTGGCCAGCCTGCAAACTGCCATCAGGCACTCACCCAGACTGGCCAGGCACCCCAGCAGGACACTCCCCCGCCCCCCGGCCCCGACCCTGAAGGGGGTGTGGCCAGCCTGAAAACGGCCCTCAGTCCCTCACCCAGGCTGGCCAGGCACCCCAGTGGGGACTCCCACACTGAAGGTGCTGTGGCCAGCCTAAAAACGGCCCTCAGCCCCTCACCCAGGCTGGACATCCCCTGAGGTCTCCCAGGCTGCCAGAGGGATGTCTGACTGCCAGCTTAGGCCCAATCCCCCAGGGAGTGGGCCTAAGCCAGTAGGTAGTCATTCCCCAAGGGGTCCCAGACTGCGAGAGGGCACAGGCTGGGCTGAGGGACCCCGCCTGAGTGCACTAATTTTTGTGCACTGAGCCTCTAGTACCTTAATAAAAAACTAATAAAAGGTACAGTGATAGAAATCAGGAAAGTGGTTACCTCTAGGGAGGACTAGTTACTGTTAGACATGAGGGAACTACTCAGGAGATAGAAGTGTTCTATCTTGATCTGGCAGGCAGCTACATGGATTTTGCTACAGGATATATATATATATATATATATATATATATACACACATACACACATATATACATATACATATACATACAGACACTACATGTAAATATTCATTTAAAGATTTCAGCACTTTTCTAAATGTACATATTACCTCAATTAAAAGGTTTTTTTAAAAAAGGAAGAAGGCTTTTCCTTAGAATGGACAGACAGAAATAGAGTAAAAAAGTATATACCTTTTAAAAAATGTAGATAACAATTATAGACCACTGCCTTCACCACTACACTACCCCACTGGGAAAAGATTAGGAAAAAAATAAAACTGGTGGGAGGAGTGCAAGTATATTATCAGAGGAAAATCCAGTTAGAAAGGAAAAGAACCAGGAGGATACTAACAGATTTAACTCACGAAGAAAGGGAAAGAAGTTACAGTGAATTTTTGTAAAAATGTTAAAAGCATTTACCAATTATGTTATGTTAATATGAACAAGTGGAACTTTGCCAAAGGTTCTTAAATATCTTGACCCTGAGAGGTAAGCTTAACGTGGGGCAAGGCCTCTCATCTTAGGAGTTACTGCCACTCTCGATTTCTCACTGGGCAATAGCCCAGTGATTCTATCAGATCAGTAGGTACGGGGCTCTCTAGTCACTGGCTGTTTGATAAAAGATCAGTCAGGAATCTCAGCTCCCAGAAAATGGAAAGAGAAAGTCCTTCCAACAAACCTCTTCACATGTTCCTAGATCAGGTCTAAAGGAAAACTCACGCCACCAGTCAGGATGAAGAAGTCATTCAAAGATTATGATTAAAGATACTCAATGCTGAAAATAAATGATACTTTTATTGTTTCTAAAACACCTGACACATAGTAAGAACTTATTGATTTCTATGAGTTTAGGATTTTTCATTTTGACATCTCTGAAATTAAGAGGCATTTCTGATTTTCCCTCAAAGGTACATAAAACAATGGTGTGAATTATAATAAATGGCATCTTAGATTCGATGAATATGAGACTTGTTGAATGAATCAATGACTAAAAGGTCAAATGTGGAGTGAGAAATTACCTGAATAGGAATGCTGTGTGCCCTCACTGGAAATGGACGAAGTTCCTCCAATAGCAGTAATCCCTTCCCTCTTGTTAATTATTTTTCGGAATGTTTTGCTGATGTCTTTGCTTTTTAACTCTTGCATTAGCTGTAATGGGATAAAAGTAAAATGAGTCTTCATCAGATAATCATAGAAAACCTTGCAACATGAAGGAAAATTATTTAGACTTCTTTATTTATTTGGAATGACATCAAAATAAATACTAACAGATAACTCACAGGTCATTTTACCAATAACAAAGAATGGACAAATGTTTGCATCCCAACCACTAGAAAAAAATGTTGTTATAATTAAGTTTAAATTGAACACATTGAAATTATTCTTCTAGATTTGCCATGATCTGTTGTACTGAAACTAAAGAATAACTACATGCAAGAGTTATGTTTCCTTTTTTTTTAAATCCCCACCCCAGGACATGCTTAGAGAGAGGGAGGGAGAGAGAGAGGGAGGGAGGAAAAGAAAGAGAGAGAGAGGGAGAAAGATGGAGAGAAAAACATCAGAGTTTTCTTGATGCAGTCCAACTGGGGGACAAACGTGAAACCCAGGCCTGTGCCCTGCCTAGGAATGGAAGCGTCAACCTTTTGGTGCCTAGGAAGACACAAAATCAACTGAGCCACACTGGCTGGCCTACATTATAGACTTTAAAATGCCTTAATGAAGGTGCTGTCTTGTCTGGACATCTTCAATGTATATGTCAGTGTAAGTTAGCTCTCGTAGGAAATAGCATAAGCTTAGAGAAACACACTCCCAGCCACCCTCTCACTGGATTTTCTAGTGGTCAGTTAGACTGAATTCAACCAGTTCTTCAAGTAGCACCAGAATGTTTTTAAAAATGCACATCTAATCATGTCACCTCACACTATTCTTCCCATATCACTGGCTTAATATTGCACTTAGGCTAAAAACAAACACCCTGCAGGACCCTGTAGAACCTGACCCTGACTTCCTTCTCTAGGGAATTCCTTTTCCCTTAACCACCTCAGCTCCAGCCACTCAGCTTCTTTTCCCCAGGTGAGAGCATCAATGTTGGCAATGGCAACAACCCAGTCATCTCTCTTGGCCTGAGAGGTTTGAAGTACATAATCTTCAATATTCAGTTCTACAATCTATTTTTCTTTTATTGGTTGAGTCATATGTTATATTTCATCTTGTTCAGTTCTTTGAGACTTGAGGTAGTTTAACAATGAAATAATGCTCGCAGAGCTAGCATCAACATTTACCTGGCCCTACTGAAACTAAGGTGTAACTGACCACAAGGAAACAACCAGTTTCTAGAAAGTATAGCTTAGCTATACTTTCAGTTTAAAAAATATTCCATTTCTCAAGGCCAAATAATAACAATAAATATTCTACACACAGAGACAGTCATTGAGCAATGAACGCAACTATAGTTTTACTAGGGCATAAACTGTTATTGTTCTCTATGCCGGACTTCCATTTGAGAATGACTTTTTCTTTTGTTTTATTTATTTTATTAATTATCATTTCATTAATTATGTGTGGATATTATTGTAGTTATCATCATCAATTTTAAAGCAGCACCATTTATGGTCTCTGCAGCTATATTTAAGCAAAGAGACAATGACGTTAAAATTTTTCTCAAAGCAATATATTCAGTAGCCAAGACAGGATTAGATTACTTACGGACACAAATTCTTCAAAACTGATTTTGCCATCTTTGTTGTTGTCAGCAACTGCTAAAATTTTCTCCACGATCTCTCGGACTTTGTAGCCAGGCAGAGGAAGGCTTGCTTCCTTAAACAGGTCCTGAAGTTCATAGTCACTGACATACCCACTGTTGTCAATATCTGTAAGATAAATTATGAGCTGTCAAATATCAATTGTACTCTGTTGGAGAGGTGCATTCAGATGGCTGTTTGGGAGATTCACAGGCAAGCAGAACCTTTTAGGTTTGTTTTGCTAGTGGCAGTAATATTTTCTCCTGCGCCTGAACTGTGCAATGTAAAAAACTCATATTCAGCCGTAACCGGTTTGGTTCAGTGGATAGAGCGTCGGCCTGCAGACTGAAAGGTCCCAGGTTCGATTCTGGTCAAGGGCATGTACATTGGTTGCGGGCACATCCCCAGTAGCGGGTGTGCAGGAGGCAGCTGATTGATGTTTCTCTCTCAAACAGCACCAGGAAACAAGAGACCCGGTCATGCCCTGGCTGGTTTGGCTCACTGGATAGAGCATCAGCCTGGGGACTGAAAGGTCCCAGGTTTGATTCCGGTCAAGGGCATATGCCTGGGTTGCGGGCACATCCCCAGTAGGAGATGTGCAGGAGGCCGCTAATTGATGTTTCTCTCTCATCGATGTTTCTCACTCTCTATCTCTCTCCCTTCTTCTCTGTAAAAAATAAAAAATATATATATATTTTTTAAAAACTCATATTCAAATGCACTTTTCCCCCATAGGTTTAGGACTACCATACATATTTTAAGTGCATACTACAGATACTGCCCTGATAGATGAAAACTCAGGTGTAGCACATGACTAAGCTTCAAAGAGCTAAGTATTTGGAAGTCTCAGATATCTAAAAGAAATACAGCATCAATGGTCACAAGGGAACACCCATCAGACTTTAAGTTCTTTATGGAATTACAGAAGGGGTCTGCTGGACCCACACTTCATATAAACTATGTATGTGTAAAATATACAAGGCATTC